TACAGGGTCGCTATGGGTCGGACCCGACTCGATGGCACTTAACAACAACAACATATATATATATATAAAGAACCCTTGTTTGTTAAGTGCTGTTGAGTCACTTCTAACTCATAGTGACCCTGTATAAGGTTTCCAAAGAGCAGATGGTGGATTTGAACTGCCGACTTTGTGGTTCTCAGGCCATTGTTGATACTACAGTGCCACACCAGGAGACCTTAAAAAAAAAAAAAAAAGATAGATAACCTATTATTAAAATGGCAAAATACTTGAACTTGTCAAAAAAGAAGGTTTTCAAATGTCCAATAAGTATATGAAAACATTGTTGATGTTGTTAGGTGCCACTGAATCAGTCCCGACTCATAGTGACCCTATGCACAGCAGAATGAAACCCTGCCCAGTCCTGCACCAACCTCACAATCGTTGCTGAGCTTGAACCCATTGCTGCTGCCACTGTGCCAACCCATCTCATTGGGGTCTTCCTCTTTTTCTCTGGCCCTCCACTTTGTCAAGCTTGATGTCCTTCTGCAGGGACTGGTCGCTCCTGATCACATGTCTAAAGCATGAGAAACAAAGTCTGTCCATCTTGGCTTCTCATGAGCATTCTGGCTGTACTTTTTCCAACACGTTGGTTTGTTCTTTGGCAGTCCATAGTACTTTGAATATTCTCCTCCAACACCATAATTCAAATGTGTCAACTCTATTACTGGGAAAAAATGCAAATGAAACACGCAGTGCAATGTGAGGGGTATCATGTGGTGAACTGCTTCCCATGTCTCTTCTAGCCATAGTCTTGTAACTCCCACCAAACGACTTTTTTCCAGACAGGTCTGGGTAAGAGAAGGTGGGGGAAGATGCTGATGGGTTATACAATTCAGTTGTGAGTGATCGCTAACAGGGTTAATTGTGAAAATTGAAACTCTAATGTCGGTATAAAATGAGATATCTCAGAGGCAGGAGGTGGATCTCACTACCACCAAAGAAAAAGAGCCAAGAATGGAGCATGTCTTTTGGACCCTTCAACATTGAACCACCTCAACCCAGGGATAGAAAGCTGGGACGGTGGAGGAGGGGCAGAGAACCAGGAGCAGCAGAACCAAGAACCGGAGTATGAGCTACGTCACCTCACAGGTCAGGTGGCCTCCTGACACATGGACCAAGTGAGAGGCACTGTTAGCAGTCTGGACTGAACTATAAGTAAAGCTTCCTTTCTTTAAAATGGGTTGCCTGAGGAGCTGTGGCCCCACTTGTCCTTCTTAGGTTGTACAGGACTAGTAGGGAATGCACTGACTGCTCTAGGCTGCAAATCTGGTCATGCCAATTTGTGACGAAGCTTAAGACCAGTAGGTCAGGTAAAGTGGTTACAAACTGTGGGGCCGACAGACCTGAGTTCAAATCCATCTCCCACTTAGGACACGTCTGATGGAGGTGATCACAGGCACCAATCACAGGGCTGTATGTAAAGATCTTAGCAAGGAGCTCTGGTAGCGTAGTGGTTACGAGTCGGGCTGCTAATCTCAAGGTCAGCAGTTCGAAACTACGAGCCATTCCGCGGGAGAAAGATGAGACTTTCTGTTCCCGTAAAGATTTACAATCTTGGAAACCCTCTTCAGGGTCACTGTGAGTTGGAACTGACTCCACGGCACACCACCACCACCACCACCACCACCACCACAGGTATTAGCATTCCAGCAGAGTAAACATTAAACATGTGGGAGCTATTGTCAAGACTGGTAATAGTTTGTACTCAGAGCCATGTAGCAAAAGTGTGTCTCCATGATTTGAGGCCAATGGCATCAGGCCACTAATCCGACTTTTTTCACCTCTGACTTTTTCTGACCCTAGATAAAGGAAGAGCAGTGGCTGACCTTCTCCTCTTCAAGCTCAAGATGCCGCTCTTTGGGAACACATTCAGCCCGAAGAAGACACCTCCTCGGAAGTCAGCTTCTCTATCCAACCTTCACTCTGTGAGTGTTGAGACTGGAGTCAGCCCCAGTCTCTGGTGGAAAGTGGGGTCCTCCAGGCAGCCTTGTAACCTCCTCTCCTTGTTACTGCTCTAAATGTCTTTCTGGATTCCTAGTTGGAGATTATTATCAGAAGTTATTGTTGGAGAACTGAATAAAACAGTCCATTTCACTATGGATTTTGGCCCCAAACAATATTATCCAATTGGACTTCCACCTTATTTCAAAGAATTGGCCAGGAATAAATTCTAGTCACTTTTAAGAATCAAATTTATTGAGAAAGATGATCATTTGCCTCTGTTCATGGCATTCAAAAGGATATTCCACAGCTTCAAAGGCAGTTTCAAAAAAGAGACCCCCAGAACATTTGGAGTAAAGCCAATAGCCTTGGGATAAACGATAGCTTTCCACACTATGATCTCTATGTTTTTTTTAAATGATAAGTTTAGCAAATTCCAGTCCCAGTTGGGTGACTCCTCTCCCCCTGTCCCTTGTTGTACAAACACACCCAGACCCCAGGTACACAATGAAGCAGGCCTTTTCTGCTGGAACCTCTGTGACCAGGTACTTTGCTCTAATCCTATCTGCCCATGTGGCTCTCACACACCCAGCCTGCCAGTCAGAGCATGAAGTGAGCAGGGTAGAGCAGCAGAGCTCTTAGAACTGAGCATTCACAACTGAGCATTCACCCTGGCCTTTGTGTCTTTGAGCCCCTTGTTCTCTTGTTCCTAGTCAAAACCAGGTGGGTACCTGGACTCTCGATTTCTGGTGCCCAAAGACTCTCTTCCCTCCCTGCCTAGCATCAGAGGAACAAATGTTCCTGATCCCATGTCCTGTGTGAGCGCAGCCCTCCCTGTAGGGAAGAGACCCCACAGTGCTTTGTACGGCAATGTGGATTTTATGAGCTCCCCATTACTACTGGTGTGGCGCTGTGGATTAATGCGCCAGACTGCAAAGCCATTTGAACTGCAAGGTCGGTGGTTCAAACTTACCAGCTGCTCCTCGGAAACCCTGTACAGGGTTGCTATGGGTTGGAACCAACTCGACAGCACTACATAACAACAACAACATTACTGCAGGGCAGGGTCCTTGTTACAAAGGGTTTCTTCCTCAGGAGCGCCTCGCCCAGCTCTCCTCCCTGCCCCTGCCCTCTATGCGGTATGCTTTAGGCACACAAGCGTCACAGCCGCCCACCTTTGTGCATGCTAGTCCCTCTGTCTGCCATGTGTATCCCTAGTCATTCATTCAACACGTGGTCATTGATAACATGCTACGTGTCAAGCACTCATATAGGCTCTGGGTCTAGAGAAGTGGGCTAAGGAGAACGCCGGGGGCGAAGGGAGTTGAATATCTGCACTTGTAAAGCATATACGAGGGGCTTCCAACAGTGCACCGCAAAATGAAATGAAAAGATAATAGATTCACCCAATGCACAAAAGGAAAATAAAAACAACAAAAAGAGCATGGAACTTTTCCCTCGACTTTTTGAAGCCCCTTTGTATGTGTCAGAAAGTTTGTATAATTTAATAAAACAGCAACTGTCTATCCTGACAAAGTGGAGGGTCGGAGAAAAAAGAGGAAGACCCCAAATGCCGTGGGTTGGCACAGTGGCAGCAGCAAAAGGTACAGGCATGGCAACGATCGTGAGGTTGGCCCAGGACCAGGCAGTGTTTGGTTCTGTTGTGCACAGCATCACTATGAGTCAGTACCAACTCGATGGCGCCTAACAACAACAAACCGTCTATCCACGGAGTCCTGCTGTGGTGCTGTGGGTTAATGCGCTGGACTGCAAAGTCAGTTTGAACCACAAGGTCAGTGGTTCAAAGTCACCAGTCATTCCTTGGAAACCCTATACAGGATCACTATGGGTCAGAACCGACTCGACAGCACTTAGCAACAGCAAGAACAACTATCTATCCCCTGGTGCTCTGTGCCATGGAGAAAAATGACATGGCTAGGGCATGGCAGGGAGATGGGCAGATGCTCTCCTTTGAAGTAGACTGTTCCAGGGGAGCCTGGCCTGCCTCACCTCACATACCTGAGGGACTTCCCCTGTGGAGAAGCTGGGGTCTCACCTGAAGATCCAGGCGATCAGTGGCAGGCAGCTCGGTATCACCTGCACCTAGTCCTGACTCAGGTGGTGACTAGTGAGTTATGTAGCTGACAATGTAAATTGTCTGGTCAGACATTAAAAAAAAACACAAAAATAGCCACTCCCAAATAGACTTCAGAATTCTATGCCTTTTTACTGATTAATATTCAAAAAGGACTTTTTTAATCTTTTAATTTTTTTTACCTTTTATTGTGAATTGAGTTAACAGAAAAGATCATTAGCTTTACCTACAACCAATCCTTTAGATGAAACGTTTTGTTTCATCTCAATGATTATAATCCCCTTCTCGAAACAACAATTAATCTGCTTCTTCCCTGTGGTTTCCCTTTTACATCTTATTTTTCAAATCAACAAAACAGAAATATTTGATATACTCATACAAAATGAAAAAAAAAAAAAATTCCTTTAAATGTCCAAAGGGCACATTTTGCAAGCCTACCTCCTGCCCACAGGCATACAGCCTTTCTCAGTTCAGAGGCTTAGAGTTCGTAGCTGCTCTGCCTCTCCATGCCATCGCCTCTGCCACCATCTGTGTCACCACTTTTGTAAATAGGATCTCACACTCCACTCAGGCTCATCCTTCTTGATTGTCCTGAGATCCTCCGTTCTTGAAGTGAAAGATTAACTTCTCCCTACTTTTACTTACACATCTCCTATAATTACCGTTGTGACCATCGCAATGAATCCTGTTAACAGGTACTCACAACTGAATCATAAAATCCTATCAGCATCACCCCTCGTCCCCTTTCACTAGATTCATCTGGAAAAGAGGAAAACTAGTCAGTGGGGATTCTATCTTCCCCTCCTCATTCAGCCACTTCGTGCCTTTATTGTTGTTGCTAAGTGCTGTTGAGTCGATTTCAGCCCATAGCGACCCTGTACAGAGTTTCCAAGAAGCAGCTGGTGAACTTGAACCACCGACCTTGAAGTTCAAAGGACTTTGCAGTCTGATGCATTAGCCCACAGCACCACACCAGGACTTTAGAGACCCCCATTTTTGATATCCAGTGTCTAAATTGCCTGTCCATAGGTGTGGCGCTGTGGGTTAATGCGTCAGACTGCAAAGTCGGGTTGAACTGCAAGGTCAGCAGTTCAAGCTCACCAGCTGCTCCTTGGAAACCCTGTACAGGGTCGCTATGAGTTGTAACTGATTTCAAAGGCACTTGACAACAACAACACCACAGTATCAAGCATATTTATCTTCATCTGGTCGACTTCTGGTCATGTAACCATCCAAACTAGGTCAAATGGGTACTATCTTCAAGTTTGGGAGTTCACGCATGCCTCCCCGCACTTCAGACTACATGGCCACTTCACTGTCAGCTCTAACCCCCAGTGACTAGGTCAGTATCCAGGAGTTTACACATCTCCCTAAACTTCAGACCAGCCAGCCCTTCCTCTTCTCTGTCTCATCTCAAGGTCAACGGGTGTTTTTGAGACATGACCAAACTCAGCCATGTCTTCATTGTTGCATTTCCCCCACTTCCACTGACAAGGAAACCAGGGTGGTCACCAGTGAGCATACTAGACTGCTTGCAGGGGGTCCTTTTTCATATCAGTCTTAGAAGAGGGTTCTTCCTTAATGGACTGACTTTTCTTGCCTTGGTGCCTCTACAGCAAACAGCTTACTTGATATTCTATCAGCCAAACAGTCTGCTTGTTTTCTTTTAAAAGTGTATAGAATAAGGCCTTAAACTATAAGTGTTCAGTAGATATAAAACAATTCTCTCCACACAGCTCAGTATGTAGAGTTGTTTAGGAAAATGTCCCTTGTATAAAGTGCTACATTCATTCTCTTGCATAGTTTAAACACTTTTATTGTGCATTATCTGATTCTCTGGCCTTTTAAAAAAACTAATGTGCAAACTAATGATTCGAGAAAAGAAACAAGTTGTTGGGAGCCTATAACCATTGGAGAGGGAGCTGGGGACACAGCCTGTATTCTGGGCCTTGGAAACCATCCCATGGTGTCTCCCCACAGTTGGACCGGTCCACCCGGGAGGTGGAGCTGGGCCTTGACTACGGAACGCCCACCATGAACCTGGCAGGACAAAACCTCAAGTTTGAGAATGGCCAGTGGATAGCAGGTGGGCTCCATTTCCTGCTTTTGTTTATCAAGCCAGATGGTGGAAAGAAATCCCCTTTGTAACTCCCACTCCTCATCTTTCTGTAGACACTGGGTTTAGTGCAGGTATGGACCGGAGGGAGGCTCAGCGCCTTCGCAGGCGAAACCAGCAGCTGGAGGAAGAGAACAATCTCTTGCGGCTGAAAGTGGACATCCTGCTAGACATGGTGAGGAAATGGTGGGAAGGGATGCTTGGCCTTGCTTTCTTGAGTCGTTTTCTCTTGAATGCCAATTTGTCCAGGTGCTCTACTATATACTGTGATGTCAAAACAGATTTTAAGACACAGCCCCTGCATCCTGGGTGAGATGGGCAGTAAACATCATTATAATGCCTTGTGGTAAGGGCAATAGGATCTGTACAGGGTCTAATGTGAGAAATTCATTCAGGTAAGTCCAGACCCTCACAGAGGAAGGAGTGTTTGAGCAGAATTGTTAAGGATAAAGGCAGGAATGGAGGCTGGGTGGAGGAAATTCCAGGGAGAGGGAAGAATGGGCTAGAGGTGGAGGTGTGCAAGTAGGCGTGGGCACACTCTGCATTCCTGGTGTTTTCTGGAAGCTTTTAAAACCCCAGAAACCTGTTGGGCCTAGAGGTGCGAGCTCAGGAGAGCATGCGTGGTGATGGTTAGGAGTTTATTCTGAATTTTAAACTACCTGTGTGACTAGTCCACCTCCTTCACTGACTTTTTAGCAAGGCACTTCGCTGCTGTGTCTTAGTTTCGGCAGCAATAAAATGGGCATTTTAATATCTGCTTTGTAGGACTGTTCCGTAAGGATTAAGAGTTCGTACAGGTAAAGCCAGTCAAGCTCTTATTTCCCAGTAAGCTGACTTCTACTTGGTGTCTTCCCTTTCCTCTCTTTAGCATCTTTAGCCTTCTACTCAAAAGTCCACTGAAAGATCCCAGTGAAAAAGTGACATTTCTTTTTCATGCATTTCCTTTTCCAAATCATGTGATGCCACTTTTGTGAGCTGTAGCCTAGGAGCAAGTGAAGGGCTTTAGTTGTAGAATCCTTTCATTCTAGAAGCACCTTTCAAACCCTTGAGGCCTCTGTAATGCAGGGCCACGCAATAGAAGGTGACCAGCAAAGTTGAGGGGTGGGTTGTGAATGTTCTTCAAGCTCTGGGACCCTGGGCCATCAGATGGCTACGCTCTGCCCAGGTACAAAGGGCTTCTCCCTCAAGGAGGCTGTCAGTGCCCAAGAAATGCCAGAAGGCCTTGCAAATCTGAACTACAGCCCAGAGATGTCCTCCTTCCTGATGACCTGCTGCTTAACTTTCAGCTCTCTGAGACCACTGCCGAATCCCACCTGATGGAGAAGGAGCTGGATGAACTGAAGAGTGTCAGCAGGAGGAGGAAATGAAGACACACACACAACACACACCCCGCCCCACCAGAGAGATCTGTTAGGGAACTGGAGAGAAACCCACTAATCAGGGTAGTAGGATGTGGCCGAGGGGTTTTTTAAGCCAAATTAGTGGAGCAGTACCTTATAATAGGTGACCACGTAATGGGAGAAACTGAAATTCCTGTCCAGGCAGAAACTAGCAGTGGGTCCTGGGTGTACTGAGTAGGGATGCCGGTCTGGAGAGCAGCCGTGTCCAGGGTGATTGATGGTAAGCCTTCAGGTGCTCGCCAGATTCGCCCTCACTGGACTACACCCTTATGTGAGTGCTGGGGTGTAGCTTGGGTCTTGGATGGGCAGTGCTCCCAGTTCTCTGTCCCTCAGGCCACTCTCCCCCACACCCACCGCCACCTCAGTCCCCACCACCTCAGCAAGCACCAGCGAGCGTCCCAGGGCAGCACTCTTATTTTTTGTGTGTACTACTTTCTTGTTTACACTATTTCTTTTTTATTAAATGATGTTAAATGAATATCACCCAAGTGAGTGAAGAAAACATATTTCAGTTCCTGGAGTTTGGAGGCCAAGCTCCCATTGCTCCATGTAAAGACAGAATTTCATGCTTGTGGGAAAATGTCACCCTTATGGAAGAACATTCCAGCATCCAGGGCCACAGCAGAGGCTGAGCTGAACAGAAGCAGGTGATCTCTGCCCAGACTCCTTGCCTTCCTCTTTTGGTGACCCAGGCTGGGCAGTGAGTGTCTGAGGTGGGGACTGGATTCTTGGTCGGGAATTTTGGGGAGTCATTGTGAGCTGGAGAAGAGAATTGGCCAAGGATAGTAAGAGGGGGTCCAGCTCCCAAAGTCGAGGGATGGACACTGAGGGTGAGGAACGGAAGCTGCCTGATTCCATGGCCCACGGGGAAGGAGAGGAGCCGGATGACAACCTCAGACACTCTGTGTAGTCAGTCTGTCCTTACCGGATAATAGGGATTAGCTAGAAGAAGCACGGAATCGTGGCTCCATCCTTGGTCTTACTCTCTGATGTAGGTTGTTGTTGTTGTTAAGTGCTGTCCAGTCAGTTTAGACTCACAGCGACCCTGTAGAGAGTTTCCAAGGAGCGGCTGGTGAGTTTGAAGTGCTGACCTTTTGGGGTGTGGTTCAGTGCTGAGCCTACAGCACCACACCAGGACTCCAGAGACCTCTTAATTCAGAAGACATTGGGAAAGGATACAAATAATAGGCAGCTGTAAGTTCAGGTGCAGTAAGAGAAGCAGGAAGCGTTACTTATCCCTAGATCAGTATCATCGACGGCCACGTCATAGAACAGCCTGGGAGCGAAACACTGATTTCCAAAGTTCATCAAAAGGCTTCGAGTTTGTTATCACCGTCGCCATTTTCCAGATGAAAAATGTGGCCAGCTAAGAGGGGTGGGAAGCAGGACTGAGACTTTGAGCTCAGTAGCGCTGTGGCTTCCTCTGCCCACCCCTACCACATCATAGGGAGCTGGAGTCAGATACCCCAAACACCCTGCACTATGTGGGGCTGTGGAGAAGAAGGGAAGCTATTATTTTTTAAGTGATAGGGAAGCATACCTTTGGAGAGTTTGAGCAGAGGGGTGCCATAAGCCAACTGTTTTTTTTTTTTTTTTAAAAAGGAGCCCCTAGCTGCTGGGTGGTGAGGACCTACGGGGTCTATGCCAAAAATGAACCAACAATCCACCTCACTGTGCTCAGTTCAGCCGGGTCCCATAATCCATTGCAATGGCCAAACAGCACTCAGACACCATACTCAGAGTTAGGGGGTTCTTAGGGAAGGTAACAGGTTACAATTCACGGTTTTTTCCAATCAGGACAGCCCACAGACTGTCCCTTGGACAATGCCACAAAGCTCTTTTGTTAAGTGCCATCGAGTTGACTCTGACTCATAGTGACCCCTATATAGGGTTTCTGAGGAGCAGCAGGTGAGTTTGAACTGCCGATCTTGTTTACGCAATCCAGTGCTGATCCTACAGTGCCTCTCCTTTAGGGCTGCAGCTGAATGCTCACGGGACACTCCATCTGCTCTAAGACTTAGCCTGAAGGCCCTCCGTGGGCCAGCAAACCTAGTTCCCCAATTAAGTGCCTGGAAGCACCCCAGTGCACAAATGAGCCTCTTACCCAAAGTCACTCAGCTCTACTTGCTCCATGGCCAGGGAGTCCACCGCCCTGGCTCCTGCTCTAACTCTTGGTTCTGCTGCTGCCCCTGCTCTGAGGTCACAGCTTTCTGTCCCTGAGTTGAAGTGTGCAGGGATTTGGGGGTCCAAAGAGCATGCTCCACTCCTGGCTCTTCCTTGTTGGTAGTGAGCACTTCCCTTCCTGCTTCTGAGATGGTTCATGTTATACACATGTTAGCGTTCCAAGTTTCCACTGTCCTAGCTCTCTTGACAATCCTTCACAACTAAATCATGTCTTCCTATCAGTATCTTCTACCTTCTTGTACCGAGGGCCATCAGGAAAAGAGCTGATTGGTGGGAGTTACAAAAACTGAGGCTAGAAGAGACAGATTAAATAATTGACTACATCACAGGTTAAGACCGGGACCACGGAAGTAGCAGAAGGGGGAATGATTGTGTTGAAGGTGGAGCCCAGCAGGATTTGCTGATGGATGTGTGGTGTGAGATCAGTGAGGGGGATCATATTAATGAAAGTCTCTGATGGGTGAAGACACAGTGAGGTATGCAAGAGCTTACAGGGATAGGCGTAAATACTGACATATACGCAACTTTGGAACAACAGTTTCTGTGTGAAGGTACATGGATTGAGACATAGGCCAAATGGATAAGGGAGGACAAGTAGGAGATACATTTATGTATTCTACAAATACTAAGAATTTGAAAGAGAATATTTGTACATGAGTATTTATTTACCTTTCCTGCAAACACAACTATGAATATGGGGGAGCATGTTGTTAAGTGCCATTGAGTCGGTTCCGATCCATAGCGACCCTGTACAGGGTTTCTGAGGCTGTATATCTTCACAGGAGCAGAAAGCCTCATCTTTCTCCCACGGAGCGGCTGGTAGTTTCGAACTGCTGACTTTAAGGTTCACAGCCTGATTCGTAACCACTACGCTACCAGAGCTCCTCATACATATAAGGAGTCCTGGTGTGGCACCAGACTGCAAAGCTGTTTGAATTGCAAAGTCGGCAGTTCAAGCTCACCAGCTGCTCCTTGGTTCTCACCAGCGATCCTATACAGGGTCGCTATGGGTCGGAGCCGACTCAACAGCACTTCACAATTTATATATATATATATATATATATATATATATATATATACACACACACAAAGACAATGTTCTACACCCTACTTTGGTCTGGGATCTTGAAAGCTCATGAGAAGGGTCTCAGATGCAGCTATTGGTCTCTCCATGTGCTGAACAAAGAAAAGTATTAAGAATTGAAGAGGCTTGGAATCAATTAGTCTAATGGGCACATGGAGCATGTGAACATCAATCTCCACTGACTGTGAGACCAGAACTAGATGGTGCCCAGCTACCATCACCAACATTACAGGGTCCCTGATGGAGTGGGAGAAAACTCAAAATTATTATTAAAAAAAAAGACTGGGTTTATTGGTCAGAAAGAGACTACGAACCTGAGACTATGGCCCCTGACCACCTTCAGGTCTAGAAAGGAACGCACCCTTGTGGCCCAATTTTCAGCCAAGTAAGTAAACAGGTATGTGGTGTTGTTAGGGGCCGTCGAGTCAGTTCTGACTCAGTGACCCTGTATGGAATTTCTGAAGAGTTACTGGTGGGTTTGAACTGCCGACGTTGTGTTTCGCAGTCCAGTGCTGAGCCTACAGTGTACGCTCACTATGGAATGATCAATTGTTTCAAATCAAAAGGACACCATTTTCCTAAGGACAAAGTTGAGAGGGGATGGGAGATGGGTGGAATGGAAATAGGAACAGTAGGGAGGAAGCAGGGTAACTGTTGTGTGGAGGGGAACATAATGATTGAGATTAAGCGAAGCATATGATTCGTTGAATGTAAAGTTGATGATCTTGTTTGTAAACCTTCACTCAATTCACAATAAAAGGTTTTAAAACAAACAGCCAACAAACCATCTCTACCGTTTTGTTATTGTTTAAGTGCCGTTCCTATCTGTCCCCACTCTTAGTGGCCCTGTATAGGGCTTCCAGGAGTGGTTGGTGGGTTTGAGTCATCAACCGCCAACCTTGCGGTTAGCAGTCCAGTGCTGATCTCTTAACATTCTACCAAGAATACACTTCCTCAGGAAAATGACGCTGCCTCAGTTTTCCTCAAAGTGGGATTCTAGGGAGGCTAGTTAAAATGCAGATTTCTGTGCCCACCCTAAATCCACTGAACTGAATAACTGAGGCAGGAACCCCACAATGTCTTCTTGTTGTTGTGTGCCCTTGAGTCGATTCGGATGTCGGAATCTGAACCCTAGAATATAAAACACACTGGGCGAAAACGAAAGGCCTTTCAGGGCTTCGGCCGCAGCGCGGGCACAACAGGGTAAGGTGAGTTTGGAAGACCTCCAATCCAGAAGGTGCCGCTGTCTCCCCAGCGCCCCCTCCAATCTCTGGGTTCCCGGGAGGACAGTTCTATCCGCGGTCACTCATCGCTCGTCTCCTCTCTTCCGCTTCCGGTGTCCCCTACAGCCATGGCCGCCGCCGTTGCCGCCGCCGCTGCTGCTGGCCCTGGGGCGCCTGTGCCTCCGGACGAATTGCTCCCGAAAGGTGACGTCGAGAAGACGGAGGAGGAGCTGGAAGAGGACGACGACGACGAGGTCCTGATGCCCCGCGGGACTGCGGGGGAGAGAGGGGGGGCCCGGGCGCGCGCGGGAGAAGGTCCGCCCGGGGGTGTGGGCTCCGCGTGCTGCGGGCTCGGAGCCAGGTCGGAGCGGAGACCGGCTTTTCCGGGAGTAGGTAGGGTCCCCTGGGGGCGAGGGGGTGGATGCCGCGGCTTCGGCCAAGACCTTCGCCTCTTCCACCACAGCTCGATGAGACCC